ACCCCCGGCGCCCCGAGAAGCAGCACCGCTACCACCCCCGGCGCCCCGAGAAGCAGCACCGCTACCACCCCCGGCGCCCCGAGAAGCAGCACCGCTACCACCCCCGGCGCCCCGAGAAGCAGCACCGCTACCACCCCGGCGCCCCGAGAAGCCGCACCGCTACCACCCCCGGCGCCCCGAGAAGCAGCACCGCTACCACCCCCGGCGCCCCGAGAAGCAGCACCGCTACCACCCCCGGCGCCCCGAGAAGCAGCACCGCTACCACCCCCGGCGCCCCGAGAAGCCGCACCGCTACCACCCCCGGCGCCCCGAGAAGCAGCACTTCCGCAATCGCAACCGCCGCGAGAAGCAGCACCACCGGAGGCGACACCTTCCCCCCGTCGCTATGTTGACAGCTTGGTCCAGCAGTGTCTTTTCATGCGAGGAACGAATGTAACCATGTGTCGTACATGTAGTACACGTAGATGTACATCCAAGCCATGACACCATGAAGATACGAGCCAAAATCAGTTACGGCAACGTGCCTATGCCAGAGCCTAGGCAGCTAACGAGCAGCAATAGCTAATGGCCCCTGTGCAAGGATGGCACACACAAGTCGAAATAGCTAATGCTCCATTGCTGCTGCATCCTGCACCCTTACTACTAATGTTACTGCAGTACAAGTTACCGTCGCGTCAGTTGGCACTCGAATACCTGCAGCAGCAGCTCTTCACGATCCACGGCGTGCAGGCCAGGTACGGAGTACGGTAAGGTGGCGCCGCAGCCAGCGCCGCCGACAGCGGAAGTGGTGGTGGCAGGACCGCCGCCGCAGCCGCCGCAGCCGCCGCCGCAGCCGCCGCCACCACCGGCAGCGATGGCGGCGGCAGATCGATACATGTCCCCGGAGCCGTTGGCAGCAGCGAGGAGCAGCTGCATCACCGGGGCGGCTGCCGTACATTGTCGGGGCACAGGGCACGGGAGCAGGCGCGGGGATATTGCTCACGAGGAGAAAGTGGATGTCATCAGGGATTGCATTGGAGAAACCCAAAGCCAAATCTTACTTTAACTTCGACCCAACCATAAACAAAATGTCCCTCTGACTATGACTCGTTCATCACCCCCAAGCCACACACCGTGGCAGGCGGCTGGCAGAGGTTAAGGTCTGATTTCTGCTCCTGGTGTCCGGGTTCACATCCGCCTGCCGGCTCCTCAGGTATTCGAGGAGTGTGAAATGGGAGGTGGCCTCCCATCTTATGGACGGTGTAGGACGTGATAATATCAACTTGTGAGCGAATCAGGAACTAAGTTGAGGTGCCGTTGATCCGCTAGATTTGGTACGATGCTGGTGGTGAGTTGCTAAACTCAAAGAGTACACTCTGAAGTCGGATGGGTTGAGCGGATTAGGGTGCCCCTCTCGCAGGGGAGAGCAGGGAACTGTCTCAAGAAAGGGGGCCGCTAATGAAGCTATACCACCCTGTAACAACATACACACACCGGTCCTCGTCATGACAGTCGTCGAAGCATGTCGATGTGTCGATTTGCTTTCCCCGTCACATCCGGACAGTCTCAGCCATGATGAGGGGTGAGCGCTAGTCGAGATGTATGTATGTATATATGTTCACCTCGGGATTAGCACGTCTCCGCGCTTTCCGGTTGTGAAAGCCGCAACCAGGAGAGACCTGCCACGAAACTGAAGGTCAACGGCTACCGCACCTTCTCCACCGCACAATGGCGCTGATGGCGCTGATGATGATCGCCAAAGCTGGCGGCAGCATGGGGTGGTGCCGGCAGCCACTGTATGGGACAATCAGCGCGGCGGCGTCGCAGGCGAGGTGCCGTACCCACGTACGGCCGCCGTCACCTGGTCCACTGGTGCTGCCACTGCCACCGGGACTGCTGGACATGTCGTACATAGCTGCACCGACACATTTACACTGCCAGCCCGCAAGGTTTCCACGACTCCGTCTCATACTCCTGGGAGGATGTTCAGACTGCCGCTGGCCAAGTGGTGCGCAACTGAAGCGCTGACCTAAGCGCGACCTGAGCTGTGGTCCACAAGGCCATTCCCGCATGGTCTGTGGAGACGGAGGAGGGACCAGTGACCGCATCCTTGCTGCTGCTGGCCACGGCAGCCGTTGCCGCTGCTCGTTGACCAGCATGCTGCTTGGCCATGTCCCGGATGCTGCTGTCGCGGAATGCACCTTCTTCCTGGCCGTCAGCTCCCCCCCTTTGGTGCCCTCGTCCTCGTCCTGGGATGTCATCCTCATCGCTGGCGTCCCCAGGTGCGTCGCCGTACGCAGCCCAAGAGAGCAATCTTCTGCCTCACCTCCACGTAAAGCAACATCTCAATATCGCAAACCATGATGACAGTGGGCCGTTGTGCATCAGTCACAGCTGATGGGAAACTTCACTTCACTGTACACCACGTAAACACCACTGGGTGCCTCGCCTCGGCGGCCAGCAGCCACCGTACCGGCACCTCCTTCCTCTGCCGCCTGCATCATCTCCTTAACACTGCCGTACCTGCTGATGTACCGCAATGCAATCCGTTCGAAAAGGAATGTAGAGGGTTAAGGCTTTTGTGGGAGAACAGAGCCTGCACCCTTTTCCCCATGGTTTCTAAACATCCGTACCCGCCCATCACTCAGCCAGCCAGCCACCGCCCACCATTCACAAGCCACCAGCCACCCGCGCACTCAGCAAGCCACTCGGCCATGTGCCTCAATCCGAGCATGCTCGTCCATTTCATCTAGGTTCTTGCCCACCTTTTAGGGCGTTTTAAGGCGGAAGACAGAAAGGAGAAAGAGGTGTATTGCTTCGTAGTTTTGCATTGCGCTTCACCATTCGTGATTGTCAATCAATTTCCTAAAGAATTTCAGTGTAAATCATGTTAAGCAGGATACATATGAATCGATAATGTCAGGGAAATACATGTACGTTTTTCCCCTTCCCGCCCATGCAACACACATACATACGGATCAGTGTACGCACACACCGGCACGCAACAGTGAAACACGCGCATCAACAATGACATTCAATACCAGCAGCACCTGCACGAACACATTCTAAAACCACCATGACCGTCACAACCACCATAACCGCCACCAACCCCAGCAGCGAGCCAACAGAAATCTTAAAGAAGCACGACGCTCACACCCGCCCACCCTTAGCATGTCTGCCACTAACACGTCTGTACGACACTGTACGGTAGCACATCACGACGACATGCAACAACTCCGTCGTAGCGGACGGGCCGGCAATCACCGCCAGCTACAACCCCAGGATGACAATGACGATGCCGACGTGGCCATCAGAAGATCATGACGGTGCACCGTACTTACTTCTACCATAATTACTTGATGGCCTTGTAAGTCCGACAGACGAGCTTGTTTATCTGTATGTGTGTGTATCTATCCCATGTGTGTGTACCTATCACACCCGTTCCCCCTCACGACCCCCCTGGCACCGGAGCTCGCACCAGACTGACGGCCCGAGGCGGTTACCTACCACCTGTCCATCCACGTACCCATCATCATCATTACATGGCCAGGATGGTTAAAGTTATCATTACTACTATCATTGCTGTGCTGTGGCTGTTTTATATGGACTTTGCGGTATCCCGGATGGCCGTATCACCTTGGGAGGAAATGAACTGC